TTCGTTCATGAAAAACAGGATTGGCAGCTATATGTAACGCTGCTTGATTATCACAAAATAAAATGGAAGGACCATCCAAAGGAATGTTCAAATCCTTCAACAAAAAACGAAGCCAAACTATCTCGCAACAAGCACCTGCCATGGCCCTATATTCCGCCTCTGCTGAAGAGAGCGAAACGGTTTTCTGTCGTTTCGTCCGCCAAGAAATCAAAGAACCGCCCAAGAATACACAATACCCAGTAGTCGAACGGCGAGTGATAGGGCAACCTGCCCAATCAGAATCACAAAACGCAGTTAACTTGGTCTGGTTGTCAGAACGAAATAATAAACCTTGACCTGGAGTAGCCTTCAAATAACGAACAATACGAAGCGCAGCATCCATATGAGATATCCTTGGCTCGTGCATAAAACGGCTTAGAACATGCACAGAATAAGTGATATCCGGCCGAGTGATAGTGAGATATATTAACCGACCTACTAATCGTCGATACTTTTCAGGATCCTTGAGAAGTTCTCCTTTATCAGATAATTTTGTGTCATCCATAGGAAAAGCAATGGGCCGTGCTCCCAAAAAACCATAGTCCTTGAGAATCTCTAATGCATACTTGCGTTGAGAAATATAAATCCCTTGTTTGGAACGAGAAACCTCAATACCCAAAAAATATTTTAAATCACCAAGGTCTTTTATCCGAAAATGATCACGGAGAAAAGACTTCAGAGAATTAATGGCACTAGCATCATTGCCTGTAATCACAATATCATCCACATAAATGAGCAAAGCTGTGAAAGAAATACCAGACTTTTTAGTGAACAATGAATAGTCAGCTTTGGATTGTTGAAAACCGGCAGAAATGATGGCACTAGTGAATTTGGCAAACCATTGGCGAGAAGCCTGCTTAAGACCATAAAGTGACTTGTGAAGGCGACACACAAGATTCTCCCCCTGTCGCCGAAGACCAGGAGGAGGAGACATATAGATTTCTTCATGTAAGTCACCATGTAAGAAAGCATTATTAACATCAAGCTGATGAAGAGACCAAGACTGACTAGCAGCAAGAGCAAGAAGACAACGCACCGTAATCATCTTAGCAGTAGGAGAAAAAGTGTCATGATAATCAATACCTTCAGCCTGAGTGAAGCCTTTAGCAACCAAACGAGCTTTGTAGCGATCAATAGAGCCGTCGGATTTGTGCTTGAGTTTGTACACCCACTTACAACCAATGGGAATTTTGCCAGGGGGCAAGGAAGTTAAAGTCCAAGTACCATTAGCATGTAAAGCTTGAAGCTCCTCAGTCATAGCACGTTGCCAATTGGGGTCAGTGGCAGCCTCGGCAAAGGAGGAAGGCTCCACAGTCCGACTGACAGAGTTAATGTAAGAAAAATGTCTGGGAGAGTAACGGTGATAAGAGAGAAAATTACAAAGTGGATATCGTGTACCTTGTGTAGAACCGGGTTGCGAAGTCGAAGATGGGTGGGATGGCAGAATCACCTGCGAGCAAACGTAGTCTTTTAAATAGGATGGAGGTTTATGGGTACGGGAAGAGGTGCGGGGAAGGGGAGGATTGGTAGGTAGTGGGGGGGTAGGGATGTCCGTGGGTAAAAGGGTGAAAGGTAAGGAAGTAGCGGGGGGGGGGGGAAGGAGGGGATGCCGAGAGGGTAGGGGCATGGGGAGGAACGGGTAATGGGGCAGCAAGGGAATCTATGGGAGGCGTGGAAGGGGAGGAAGGTGGAGGAGGGTGAGGCGTCGGGGCAGGAAGGGGTGAGTTATATGTAAAGTCCAGAGGGGGTGGGATGGGTAGGGTAGGCGAAGAGGATGGGATATGAGGGTGAGAAACGGCATAAGGGAAAGTACTTTCGTGAAAGATGACGTCTCGACTAGTGAAAATGCGGTGATTGTCGAGATCGTAAAGGGTATAGGCCTTTTGTCCATGAGGATAACCGAGAAAAATGCAACGATGAGCCCGAGGGGAAAATTTGGTGGTGGGAGTGACAGAGGTGGCATATGCCAGACAACCAAAGACGCGGAAGTGGTCATAAGATGGGGTTTTCGAAAAGAGAACCTCAAATGGGGATTTATGATGGAGAAGACGGGTAGGGAGACGATTGATGAGATAAGTAGCGGTAAGAACACATTCCCCCCAAAACTTGATAGGAAGATGGGATTGAAAACGAAGGGCGCGAGCGGTTTCAAGAAGATGACGATGTTTTCTTTCAACAACGCCATTTTGTTGGGGGGTATAAACACAAGAAGTTTGTAAAAGCACCCCATGATCAGAGAAAAAACTACGAAGAGATAAAAATTCACCACCATTGTCAGTACGAATGCATTGGATGGTAGTGCGGAATTGGGTAGTGACATAAGCAAAAAAATCCTTAATTAATTGTTGGGTGTCAGATTTATGTTTCATGAGGAAGACCCACGTAAAGCGAGAAAAATCATCCACAATGGTTAAGAAATAATTAGCACCAGAAAGAGAAGATTGACGATTCGGGCCCCAAATATCACAATGAATTAAAGCAAAAGGGAAAGTTGATGAAATTGAACTCAAAGGAAAAGGTTGACGAGTTTGTTTTGCCAACGGACAAACATCACAAATATGACTAGAATCAAAAGTGCAATTAAGAGAGCGAGATGCTAAAGCTTGCAAACGAGTGGAGGAGGGGTGACCAAGACGCCTATGCCAGAGGGAGGAGGGGATGGTAATGATGTTGCAGAGAGGTTGACGGGTGGGGAGAGAAGAGGTAAGGGCCACAAGGTAATACAGATCGCCACGTCGCTTACCCACACCAATCATCGCCTTCGAAACCAAGTCCTGCAAAACACACCAAGAAGGAAAGAAGGTTATGGAACACGATAATCCATTTGTAAGTTTACCAACCGATAAAAGGTCCACTCGGAAATTAGGGACACATAAAACATCCTTCAAAGTAACTGAGGAATTTAAAGGAAGAGTGCCGGTAAAAGTAATGGGAGCGGAAGCACCACTAGGCAAAGAAACAGGCGGCAAATGTGAAGGAGAACGATTAACCAAACATGAAGCGGAAGAAGTAATATGATCCGTAGCACCACTGTCAAGAATCCATTGACCATGACGAGAGGTGACAGGTAACAAACCTTGGGCAAAATCAGTAGTGAGCACGGCATTGGCCTGAGGAGGGGTGATGGTGTCACGGAGAGCAGCTAACATACGGGAGTGCTGCTCGGCAGAGAGGTCAGGCATGGCAAGCTGCAAGTCATGTAAAGTGGGCTGGGTCCCGTGCACTGGGTGGGTCGCTGGAGTAGAAGAGGAGGCGGGGGCCTGGGTGCCTTGCACGTGATGGGCCTGGGTGAAATTATGGGGCCGGGAAGCAGAAAACCGTGGCTGCTGGGGAGGACTGGAAGGTGCATGGCTGCGGGAAGAACTGGAAGCAGTGGCACGGCGCGGTGGTCGCCACGGTTGGCCATGGAGGGGATGGCCAACGGGATAGCCATGAAGTTTATGGCAGGTGTCTCGGGTATGATAATCAAAATTGCAGTAGGTGCAGTGGAGGGGAGGACGAGCAGAGGAGGGACGGGATGGGCCACGAACAGCCATGGCAGCAGGTTGATCGACAGAGCGGAGGACGCCCAGGGAGCGTTGTTTTTCAGCTTGAGACACCGATGAACAGGCCTGACGAACAGTAGGGAGGGGATGCATTAAAAGAATCTGGTCACGAACAGCAGCAAAGCATTCGTTGAGGCCCATTAAAAATTGCATGAGTTGTTGACGGTCATGTTTGGCGTTGCAAGAGCACGTGCAGCCATCATTATAGGAAGCAAGCTCATCCCAGAGAGCTTTCAGGCGAGTAAAATAGGCGGAGATAGAAGAAGAACCTTGAGAAATTGTAGCAAGATCCCGGTTGAGTTGGAAGATGCGTGGAGCATTACTCTGAGAGAAGCGTTCGCGAAGATCATCCCATACATCTTGGACAGAGGTGGAAAAAAGCACAGATTCTTGAAGGTCAGGTTCCAAGGAATGCAGAAGCCAAGAGAGAATCATGTCATTGCAACGACGCCAAGCCGCGTGAGCATCAGGATCGTCGGAGGAAGAAGGTTCTTGGATATCGCCAGTGATGAAACCAAGTTTATTCTTGGCACTCAAGGAAAGCTGCATGCCACGGGCCCAGGATGTGTAGTTATCACCATTCAACTTCTTGGATACAAGGACAAGATTCGGGTGGTCGGAATGATGAAGGGAAAAAACACCATCGAAAGAAGAAGAGTCAGCCATGGGAACGGCAGAGAAAGCTGCCGAAAAAAAAAAAAATAGGGCTAGGTTTATAAACCTGCTCTGTATACCATGTAGAATTTTGATGTATATTTGCTTGATTGAACAATTACAAGATGAAACATATATATAGGAAAGAAAAAGAACATAAACCTAATTTTGCCTAACTTGCCTAACTTGCCTAACTTGCCTAACTTTGAACAAGAAAATTGACTAGCCTACCATTATTCCAACATGTTTATTTCATGCATTTTTACACAAGGATTCCAACCTAACTTTGTTTGTCTAACAACTACTTTTCACAGCAAGAAACCTTTCACTATGTTTGGATAAAAATATTTAAGATTACTAAGAAGTTTTAAAATGATGGAATTTTATTTTCTAGAATTTGTGACTTTTCTTGTTTGTTTAGCCTAAAAGAACAATATAATTGAAGACAGAATTTGTTATTTTTAAACTTTCAAACATAAAAATTGAGAAATGACACTTATTTATATGAAATTTAAACTTGGCAATTAGAGGTCCCAAATTCCAATTTTTATTTTTCATGCGGAAATTGTAAATTTATATCTTTATGTATCCAAACAACAGAATTGGTGCATGTAAATTAAATATAAATTCTAACTTTTATTCAAATTCCAAATTTATTTTCCTCATCCAAACATAATGTAACTAGTCAAATCTCCTGATACTTCTACTACTGTTTGACTTCTATACCGATAGGGAACCTTATGATCGAAAGTGCACAACAATTCACCAAAACTTTACCGAAATTTCCATTGAAATATCTTTAAAATCTTCCACATTTATCAGTATTGGACTGAAGTATAAAATTTTTATCGAAATTGCCTATATTGCATAAATATTTCCGAAATTTCAGAGAACTTCAAGAAAAAATATTGCTTCAGCTCCTTTCAAATATCAGCAAGAACCCCATTTAATTAATATATCGAGAGATATTCTGGTAATGTCAAAGGAATTTAATTCATGGCCTATAATATGTAAGTTTGCCTATTCCATGTAAATAAAGGGAAAAGACAAGAGAATTACGTAGTATAGCACTTGAACTCCGAAGAACTTTTCTTAAAAGTGAAGAGGATTTTAACAAGAAGAAAAATGGAATGGAAGAAATTAATATTCTTACATCTATGATATCTCGATGGGTGGAAAATCCATGCTCCAACATCGTTGCTGCAACATATATCGCCATGTGTATTTTGCTAGCAAACCTATGCATGGCATCAGTCAGGCTCATACCTCCTGCGCTATGTCCCACAAGTATTACCTACCAAAACAGTGTTAATCCACACAAACTTAATCCATATAACATAATATACAATCTCTTGTAACATTAGTCTCATTAAACCTGCCTAACACTTCTATGTATGCATATATATACGAGAAAAGCTAAGGGCAATCGCGTCTACTCAATTGTTGATGAGGTGGAACTCACACTGACCGGTGACATTGATACCGATTTTGATAGAGTGCGCGACTATCCCTAACAAAACGTATGCATAGAAATACCCACCTTTTCATTTCCTGGCAAACTGGACAAGAAGTCAGTGAGAGGCTGGTTATAGTCTTGGAAGGTGAGGACGGTATTAGGGTCAGATTGATCAACACCAGCACCTTTGAGGTCAAGACATGTGACTTTGTAGCCTGAAGCTTCCATTAGACACCGGATCTTGTACCAGCACCAAGCTCCATGCCCTATACCATGGATCAGAACCAAATGATGATGATGAGGATGAGGATAGTTTGGTAATATTCCACTCATTGTATTCTCCTTCTCTACCATTGGTCTTCCTCCTGAAATACTAGCTAGCTTCAAATTTTGTTTTAGTTTCCCTATCTCTCAAGTTTCAATGCCTTGTGTGTATAAATAACTAATCTTTTATTTTGTTATATATTATATGTAAGGCGTGCATATACATGTATGTGCTGTGTGTGTGTATCTAGTTGCATGTGATTTAAGTTACGCAGGAACTAGAAGACCAAGTGGGTTGCGTTACCCAGGTAGCTATGGACCAAAAATACCTATATTTGAGAGTTGAGACTGCCTTATGGATAATGTTTCTTAACACAATTGTTGTCCATTATTTCGTCAGTTATCATATGTCTCCTTATTATCTGGTATGCATACGTAGCTAATAGTTACAAGTATTTCCAATAAAAACCTATAGAAATTATAGCTTTAATTTGTGATGTATATTTCATGAATTGCAATGTACAATGGTTCGGGTATATATAAGGAAGAAGACTAAGAAAAAACAAAAAAACATTCCCCTTAAAACAAGGAATAAAACAAGGAATAAAACATTCCTTAAAACATGGAATAAAACATTCCTTAAAACATTCCTTAAAACAAGGAATAAAACATTCCTTAAAACAAGGAACTCATTATTTTCAACACTCCCCCTCAAGCTGGATCGAGGAGGTTCACTGAGCCAAGCTTGCCCAATAACCGATGAAACTGAGATGATGCTAGTGCCTTTGTAAAAAGATCTGCTAGTTGATCATGGCTTCGTGTGAACATGGTCCGGATGATTTGCGTTTGAACTTGAGCTCTGATGAAATGACAATCCACTTCAATATGTTTGGTTCTTTCATGGAACACAGGATTGGCAGCAATGTGCATGGCTGCCTGATTATCACACATAAGCGTCATAGGAGTAGAACTAGGAAACCCTAAGTCTGAAAGAAGCCCTTTAAGCCAAATGAGTTCACAAGCAGTGGCTGCCATGGCTCGATACTCAGCCTCTGCGCTGGAACGAGCAATTACCTGTTGCTTCTTACTCTTCCATGTGACAAGGTTTCCACCAACAAATGTGCAATAGCCTGTGATTGATTTCCTATCAATTGCATTACCTGCCCAGTCTGCATCTGTGTAGCCACTAATGACAGTGGACTGATTGTTATGCATTGTAATTCCTTGCCCAATTGAACCCTTAAGATAACGAAGGATTCTCTTAACAAGGTTAAGGTGATCAACAGTGGGAGAGTGCATGAACTGACTAGCCAAGCTCACTGCATATGTGATATCTGGACGAGTGATAGTGAGGTATATGAGCTTACCTACTAATCGTTGATAGTAGCTTACATCATGCATGGCTTCTCCATCTATGCTGAGCTTCAGTTTACAATCAACAGGAGTGATAGCAGGCTTGCAGTCAAGCATTTTTGCTTCTTGAAGGAGGTCCAATACATATTTCCGTTGATGTAGAAATAGTCCTTTTGAAGATGTTGCCATTTCGATCCCCAAAAAATACTTTAACCTTCCCAAATCCTTGATAGCGAAAACTTGATGTAGTGAGAGTTTTAGTGCCTCAATCTCCACGATATTATCTCCAGTGATGATAAGATCATCAACATATATGAGGACCACCAACTTCCCTTTGGTGCCAGTTCTTACAAATAGCGAAGAATCAGCATTACTTCGCATGAATCCAGCCTTTTCCAGAACAGAACTGAGCTTGGCATACCAAGCTCTTGGTGATTGTTTCAATCCGTATATTGCCTTGTGCAATTTACAAACCATGTTGCCTTTAATACCATCATAGCCTGGAGGAGGTTGCATATACACTTCTTCCTGCAGCTCGCCGTGAAGGAAAGCATTCTTCACGTCCATTTGGTAGAGTGACCACCCACAATTGATTGCAACTGACAGTAAAACCCTGACTGAGTTCATCTTGGCCACCGGTGCAAATGTTTCCTTATAATCTACACCAAAGGTTTGGGTGAAACCTCGAGCAACAAGTCTAGCCTTGTGTCTCTCGATAGATCCATCAGCTTTGAATTTAGTCTTGTAAATCCAACGACTTCCAACAGCCTTCTTTCCTGGTGGTAGTTGAACTAGGCTCCAGGTGCAATTCTCTTCCAGTGCACGAAGCTCTTCTTTCATGGCTTGGTTCCATTGTGGGAGAAGAAGAGCTTCTTGAAAGCTTCTTGGTTCATAGTGCTTATCAATTTCACTGAGAAATGTAGCATGAGATGTTGAGAACTTACTAAAGCTGATACATTCATTGATTGGATGTCGTGAGGCATATGTAACATAGTCCTGCAACCTAACTGGAGGTTTTCTGATTCGAGGAGGATTTCTTTTAATCACCTGAGACTCTGTAGAGGGTGGAGAATGATCAGAGTAGGGCTCGTCTTCACTCTCACTGGCAGTAATTTGGTCAGTTTGAACTTCTTCACAATCTGGACTTACACTGACTGATCTATTTTCCAACATCGGATAATTAAAGTTTTGAGGAAGTGGGAACATGTCAACTAAATCCTCCCCCTGACTTGTAAAATAGGGATAGTCTTCTTCGAACTTCACATCTCTTGAAACTGTGCACTTCTTAGTGACTGGATTGAAGCACTTGTATCCCTTTTGAGTGGTCGAGTATCCCATAAACACACACTTGGCTGCCCTGGCATCTAGTTTGTCACGGTTCAAGGTTTGGATGTGAACAAAACACACACAACCAAACACCTTGAGATGTGTCAAATCTATTTTCCTCCCCTTAAGAACTTCATATGGAGATTTAAACCCTAGCACACGACTTGGAAGTCGATTGATGAGATAAGTGGCAGTAAGGATGGCAAACGACCAAAATTTCTTTGGAACGTGCATGTGAACCATGAGAGCACGAGTTTTTTCCAAGAGATCTCTATTTTTCCTCTCGGCTACTCCATTTTGTTGGGGAGTCCCCACACAGCTGGTTTGATGTATGATACCCTGAGAACTTATGTATTGAAGCATATTGTTGGATAGAAATTCAGTGCCATTATCTGACCTTAAAACCTTAATGTTTGATTGAAATTGCGTTTTAACATGCATGTGAAAGTCTTTGAAAATGGTAGGGACTTCACTTTTTGATTTCATAAGATATAGAAAACTTGTTCGAGAGAAATCATCAACAAATAGAACAAAATATTTAAAACCTTCCATTGATTCAGTTGCAGGTCCCCAAACATCGGTGTGTACCATTTCAAAAGGTTTACTTGTCCTAGACATTGAATTACCAAAAGGTAGCCTAGTAAACTTAGAAAATTGACAAGTATCACAAGTAGGATAAGGGTTACAAAAATTTGGAAACAGTTTCGACAAGACAAGTTCAGAGGGATGAGCTAATCTCCTATGCCAAAGTTGGTTTTCATCTATGGACTTTGATTGAGCTTGAAGAGCCTGAGTGAAACATGCATTCTTGCACAGGTAGTAAAGGCCATTTATGAAGACCCCTTCACCAATCATCTTCATGGTGAGAACATCCTGAAACATCACTTTATTTGGTGAGAAAATAGCACGGCAGTTTAGGGTGTTGGTGATCTTTCCAATTGACAAAAGTTGAAAAGGAAAGGTTGGTACATAGAGGGCAGTGGAAGGTGTTTTTTGAGAGAGTAAGTTTATTTCTCCTTTTCCCAAAACTAAGACATTTTTTCCATTTGCAACAGACACATGTGAGGGGCTTGAAAATTTTTTAAAATGATGTAAATTTGTAACTTTGTTTGTCATATGATCTGTGGCGCCTGAATCAATTATCCAACAATCAGTTTCAGTACTAGTTAATAGGGCAGTAGTAAAGGCTTTGAGTATACCTGATGCTTCTCCCTTTGGAACTTTCTCATTTCCAGCAAGAAATCCGGCAAATTGTCCCAACATAGCTGTGTGACTACCCTCTTCATTGCCTTGACCATGTGAGCCTCCTCCGTGCCCCTTACTTTGTAGGTAAGCTGCAAATTCATTGATCAATGACAATGGATTGGCAGTGAACTCCATGGATCCTTGTGAGATAGTAGGAGCTTGAGCATTAGCAAGTTTTGCCTTGAAATGAGGTTGAAATTGTTGTGAGGACCTTGGTATCATCCTTCCATCTTTGCTGAACTTAGGCTTGAGTTCAGGATGAAGTTCCCAACACTTGTCTTCCTCATGACCAACACCATTGCAATATTTGCATTTTAGATGTGTGTTTCTTCCCTTGTATACCTTGGCTTCTGAGTTCTTGTAATTTGATGCATATGCCCGAGTCTCCGTTAATCTAGGATTGTGATCAACATTCATAACCTTCTTCCTTGCTTCTTCTCGTTGGATAGTTGCACAAACATTGTTGAAGGTAGGCAGATCTTGACTCATCAAGATGTGACTCCTTAGGTCCTCGTACTCAGAGCTCAGACTCCCTAACAGCTGATAAATTTTGTCTTCCTCAGCTCGTTTTAGGAGAATGGTAGGATCTGTGGTATGAGGGAGATATACATCCAACTCATTCCACATGGCTTTGAGACTCCCAAGGTGTTGAACAAATGCTTTCCCTTCTTGTTGAGCACTGGCAATGTCCTTCTTTAATTGGAAGACCCGTGCATAGTTGTTTTGATTTCCATACATATCCTGCAAAGCTTTCCAAAGATCATGGGCGGAATTGGAGTAGCTAAAAATTTCAGCAACATGTTTCTCCATGGTGTTGAGCAGCAATGACATGACAAGTTGATCTTTGCAGAGCCATGCATTGTATGTAGAGGAAGAACGATCTGGAGCTTCCACGCTTCCATTTACAAACCCTAACTTCCCTTTGCCTCCGAGAGCTAGTGAAACAGCTCGGGACCAAGGAAGATAATTGAACTCGTTCAAGAGAACTGAACATAAACGTTGATTGGTGTTAACCTCAACGTCTGAGGAGTTTGGAGAGAGATTGTGCCGGGTTTCCTTATCATGGTTGACAGAACTTTCTTCAGTCATGGCTTAGACTTTGAAAGAAAGAAAAAATCGCAGCAGCAAGAATTGTAGAGACAGGTTACAAATGAACCTGCTCTGATACCATATAGAAATTATAGCTTTAATTTGTGATGTATATTTCATGAATTGCAATG